CCCATTCCCCACACTTATCTGGCCTTGCTCTCTGCAGGGACAGGCTCTGAAAACAGGTGTTGGGCCGCGATGGCTCCCTCTGCTGGTCGGGTCCCCAACCATTGGACCTCCCTTCACCAAGCCCTCTGGACTCCCCATTGCTGACTCACCTTCACTCCAAGTCTGTTGGGGGAACTGGGGCACTGGGGCAGGGGGTTGAAGCTGGAGCTGAGGCTGGGATGGTGGTTGTGACTGGGGCTGTGGGGGCACCTGGGACTGTGGTTGGGGCTGGGGCTGGGGAGGTGCTTGGGGCTGGGGAGGCAGCTTGGGCGGAGGAGCTCGGGAGAAGATGGGGGAGCCAGGGAACATGGCTCTGCTGGCCCCGTGCTCCCAGAAGGCGTTCTGCAGCTTAAAGATCATGCTGAGGGGGATGGGGCGCTGACGGGGGGCGCCCCGAGGCTGGGGGCTGGAAGGAGGCATGGGGATGCGGCTGACAGGCTGCCAGCTTCGAGGCAAAGTGCCTGATGGCCCCTGGGAGCCCAGCGATCGGCGGTAGCTGCCCACGTCAGAACGCCTGTCATTGGCCAGAGGGGAGACCTTGTAATTGCGGGGCAAGGTGGCGCTGGTGAGGTTGTCCTGGGGAGAAAGGGGGGAGGAGGGAAGGGAGAGGGGCTCAGGTGGGAGGAAGATAAGGGAAGGAAAGGGTGGGGGGGCAGCAAACGATGAGAAGGGAGAGGAGGGGAGGGAATCCGGAGAAAGTGAGGGGAAGAGGACAGGGAGGGATTGGAAATCCAGGATAACGAAGGAAGCGCTTGGGGGACGGGCTCAGAAAATGGGGGCACGGCCTGGAGGGGGAGACTAGCCCTGGCCCCGCTCCCGGCCCTTCCCCGACAGCCCCCTCCCCAAGCTGCTCCAGCCCCTCACCTTGCCGGTGGCCCCCAGCCCGTCCAGGCTGCTCTCTCTCCGGGAGGAAGATAAGGGAAGGAAAGGGTTGGGGGTGGGGGGCGGCAGCAAACATGAGAAGGGAGAGAAGGAGGTGAGGGAAGCCAGAGAAAGTGAGGGGAAGTGGACAGAGAGGGAATGGAAATCCAGGATAACGAAGGAAGCACTTGGGGGATGGGCACAGAAAATGGGGGCACGGCCTGGAGG